GAAAAACATGAGAATAAAAACAACCCAAGCGTCCCACTCGTTTATTCTAAGTATTTCTATGGCTTTGGCGCCGGATTCGCGCCGGATCGTAGAAATTTACAGGCGATTTCAACTAATTTGCCTTTCCTTGATTTTTTCATTTTTGTTTTGTTTACATTTACATCGTGGTGCTTCATTTCTAGCCTGTGTCATCTTCATCTCCTTGTACATGCGATTTGAAGCGGAGGGAGCAACACTCTACAAATTTTATTCGCATCAGGAAATTGCGTTTTGCTTGTATCAAACTAACGAGTATGCCGTTTTATTTTCATGTTTCGTGGAAATACGCGGCCTCCGAGGGATGTTGCAGAAGTGGCACAGTTGCTTTTAAGTTCTGACCCTCGTCATCATCATCTTCTGTTCTTATTTTGCAGCACCTCCAATGTTATCCGCATCAGGAAATTGCGTTTTACTTGTATTTGAAGCGCAATTAAAGGACTTGGCAAAGTGCCAAGGAGCCGCACGCGACAGGCGCGCTTACGACGGATGTTATGAAAGCGGTCGAGGAACTAGCGTGTTTCACGGTCCTGTATCTCCATTCCTGGGCATGTTTGGGCGGGGGGACACGACACATCGACAGCTGGCGGGCTGATAGTCTCATACACCCTCAATGGTGGCTGAGTCGTACTATGTGTCTTAAAAGTCGGCGTCTACCGGTTTCCTTTGAAGACATGTTCCTCTATAGTCGTATGGTGAGGCTCATAAGCACTGTATTTTTCTCATTGGTGCATCCTTCTCTTTACCGTGTAGGAATGGAGGGCTCATCAAGTACCATAGAAAAGTTCAGTGGTCGGGGATCTCCGCCCATGTCTCCGCCCATCTGACCATCGTGGAATGCGCCTTTAGGATGAGGAAACCTTGACCAAACGCGAAACGTCTTGGCTAGCTATTGATTCGTGAAAAGAGAAGCGACCGAAGGTCCTAAAGTTCAAGGTCCACACAGGATAAAGCTTCCACATCCTGGAAAAAGGAAGGGAAGGGCTTGCGCACTTCACTCGAACATGGCGTCGTCGTGAGATGTTTCAATTTGAGAATTGTACGGTCTTGTTCCCAGCGGATGATTGGGCATGTTTGGGGAATGGGGGAGAGAGGGGATCTCATCGCAGCACCGAACTGTTCAACCAATTGCTCTCACTTCTCCACTTCAACAAGTAATGGAGAAGGGGTTGGCGATGTACCACTCCCATAGCCTTTAGTCACGCCCCAACGTCGGAAGCAAATACGGTAATCGCGTCTTTTGTCTAGCACAGGACAGAATGGCCTTTGGGCGTAGTTCGGCTTGATGGGGGCAGAAAATGGTACTAAGCGAAGCCTATAAAGGAGAAGACCTGTCAATTTTTGTGAACATCTTGCACCTTCACAGGACAACACAGATCTTACTAGAATATGGCCTGTTAGTCGAAAGGAGCCAGCAGAAGGAGCTAGCGAAAATGCAGAATGGTCTCAAATAAGAACTATCACGAAAAAACCCATCCGACGTCATGTTTGAATAAAGTACGCGACCACGCCCTCTTTATCTCTGGGGTATGGAGCTGTATAGAATCAATCGATAAACGTCACAGGCGTCAGGGGTTTTCTGGCTCATTTTTAGACGAAATGGGTGAATTCACTGTTTGCTAAACCATCAGAATGTAGCAATCATGAGCTCAATTGTTTCGTTTTTCAGCTTTCCGTAGCAAGAACTGAACTGTGAAATTTGCCCGTCCATTCAACAGCTAACAGGGTTTTCGATGGTGAAGTACGCCTGGAAATATTTACCCTCCTTTGAACAAACCGCTGCAACTGGCCCCTCCTATCAGTTAGCGCTACCCAGCTACAACCAGTGGCAGTCAGCTACCGAACAAAAGAGCATCGGACACTATCAGGCCACGACCTGATGCACTTCTCATCACCTCGGTCCCGATGGCTCTGCCTATCTGCCTTTTCCACACGCTCTTTTCGCCGAGTTTTCTGCAGAGCCTGCGTTTCTTCTCGTCACCTGCTCTATCACCAATGTCTTTTAACCTTAGTGACGCAGATAATTTTTGGAATAAGCATTTGGCACGTCTCGGTCTTTCACAGTTCGAAGACGAAACTGATAACGACTGATATGACAGTTATAAAACCACCTCCCAATAAATTACTGCCATCACCCGGTCTCCTACTAGTCCACACCATTTTGAAGCTAATCATGGAACGTTTCCCTAGTGATGTTTCTTTGATTTGAATGTCATTTTCAGTGCTTTTTCCACTCTCGGTGTAGCTCTCCTTCCCACTACAGGGAATTTAGCAGAATTGTGAGGCTCTGGAAACTCCTTTGAAACAGAAGTTTAGCGGATGCTCACGTTTGTGCTCGTTTTGTTTCAAAAGGCAAAGAGGGTTGATCAATGTCGCCAAGAATCGCCCAAAGTCGCCAAAGGTGGACCTTGTTTCATAGAACGACCACTTGTAAGGCCAGGGCCAGAATCAACATCTGGATCATCTTCGCTGTAGGTTTGGCATCCATTCACCAGCGGAGGTCAGGTAGAAAACAGGGATGGAACCACCGTTACTGGCCAAAGTTCCCTGTCGCTTTTCCCATAGCGGCTACTTACATGTGGAGCTATCGGATGTTGTCTGCTTTCGCTTATGAATGATCCTTTTGATGCTTAATGAAGCAAGATCTCTAACTCCACCTATCTGAATTATTTATTCGATTTCTTGAAGGTTCAAATGTCTTTGAAGAGCTTCACTGTATTTCGAAAACCTCCACAACCAGGGTACGCCGTGGCTGAGGAGTGCTAGATGAAAGGTCATTTCGGAATCGTTGGGGGTTAGCTACCGTATCGCGCAAGCACAGCACGCCATCGCGCTAGGTAAAATTTCTGCTGAAGCGACCTTCTTCCGAGAGCTGGTCTTGGCACAATCCCGGCCTAAAAAAGACAAAAAAAAGGTTAAAAAGGACACAGTAAAAGAAATTGCCATAGAATTTTGAACGGGTACTCGAATTTTGAACGTTTGAACGCTGAACGCTATTTCGCGATATGTGGCGAAATGGCAAGAAGCTCCAGAAGTACCGTATTTTTTACATCCATAATTCTCTTGAGAATAGAGCTTCTAAAGCAGGAAAAGCAGAGGATGTGAAAGCACTTAGGATTCGGTATTAGTTCTGAGCCATTTTAAAGAACTTGAGTCCTAGAGCCATACTGAACATCAAAGATATGTTCCCCGTCTTCACTGTTAAATATTGGTAGCCTACGAAATTTAATGGTGGTTCGATAGTCATAACTTTACCTTTCATGACCTTCTGTAGTAGGAAAAAGTAATGAGGGAATCTAGACGACTTCACTCCTCAAAAGCACTTTGCACTTTTTTCTCAACGTCACTATTTGAAAAACTCCTCTTCGTATTTTGCCTGGGATAAGTTTCGGATGGGCGCGAAAAATCCGCACTGCGATCGCCAATTGCCATTTCCAATTTGTTCAGAGAGCATGAGTAGAGAACTTTCATAACACATATTTCGTCGCCGAAATTGTGCCGAAAAATTTATTCGGCATCCTTCTCCGTATTGCGCCACGCACCTGCGACGCGATCGCGACTCCCACGCAAGGTGCTGTGAGTGCAACTCCAGGCAAGGATTCTTCTGAAAACTGATATGTTCCTTCTGTTCAGAAGGACCTGTGTGTAAAGAGTGTTTTTTCATAAATTAATGACGTCGTTGTGGGCGGCTACCGCACTACTTGTCACGCCCCTTCGCCCCCCCCCCTTCAGAGGGTGCAAGCCGTGTTCGTTTCTGGTGCCTCATCAGGCATTTCACCATAAGAAGCAAAGGAAATATATTAGATTATCCGGAAAGTTTTGAGAAAATTTCACCTTTTTGGTTTTAGGAAGTGTAGCAAGCGATACCCCATACAAAGTCATATATCAAGTGCTCTGGAAAAGAAAAATGGCGCTGTTTGTCGACGGGGGAAGGGGGCATTTTGCACTATCATTGCTTCCTCAGTTCCGGTTTACATGTCTCACTCTGGCGAAACCTGTGAACTCTTGTGAAGCTGGAACAGGGTAATCAAGCCATCATGTTAAAACCTGTCAACTCGAGAAGAGGCTGTCTAGATAGGCCGACACGTCGATGGGAAGTAGCGAAAGTGCAAAATGCCCCCCGTCGACAAACTGCGCCGAAAAATGTGAAAATCTAATGTTGTTTGTGTGTTATCTCCATTGTTGGTATGAGTTGACATTACCTGAAAAATGTGCTTGCGCTTAGGAATCCACGCCTTCTGATTCATCGTCACCGTTCTGGCTGCTCTTTCGGTCAAATCGGGAATGAGGCACCGTTACCAATGCTAGATAAAAGGCGCTTAATAATTATCTGTGACAGGAGATCAGGTCTCTCACATGGAAGGTTAACTATTGGCGTATGCACTCCGCAACCTCCCGGATGCTCACGTCATTTCAACTCTATGCAAAGTCAATCCCGGCGCCAAACGTTAGGCGGAAATGGGGATGGATGATGTCTATTAAAATAATGAGCTTTCTACCTGCTTACTAATAAAATGTTATTCAATAAATGTGAATGAGTGGTTTGAAATTTCTCAAAACTTCCCCGTACAGTCTAATAAGTGATAAATGCCGGCCCCCTCTAAGTTGTAATCACAGAAATGCATCTGTATGGTAAACGTGTATAGTAAACGTAATAAGCACGATGTACCCGGGAGCTTACTGAGTGTTTTTCTCATTTCTGTCATCTTATCAAACAAGTACAATGTAGTAATACATTGCTCCTCCATTTTTAGGGTTCAAACATCACTCTAATAAAACATTTTTTGGCAGAAAGCCCCTATCGAGTCTCCCTGTGGATGACAATAGTTCACATTACTCGCTCACAATCTTTTCGTTATCGATTACAAACACTCAAAGCATTTTCTTTTCAAGGTCCAACCGGGTACCCTAACGAAAGATGTCCGAGGAAAAGAAGAAGGAACCGAAAGCTGCACAGGATACCTATGCGTCATGAGGATGGACATACGAATCTACCTGAGGTGATGTATGCAGATCTGTAGCCGTCTTGACTTTCAATTCCTGAGAAAATCCCGTGGCGGTTTTCAGAGCGTTTCAGTTGGAGGCGTACTAATTGGAAATTTTCTGGTCCCGGCCTGTTTGATGAGTATCGCTTACCTCGACCCGGGAAATATCGAAAGTGATCTACAGTCAGGAGCTGTTGCACAGTTCAAAGTGAGTTACTATTTGGAAGTTTACTGTGCTAACGGAAACCGATAATGAGGGCTGTTCTAGTGGCAGTTCCTTTGGTAACCGCTGTCAGTGTTTCATAGATTGACCATGACATCGGGCGGCATTTTGAAAATACACGACACTTCAGCAATTTCACGAAATAAGATAAGCAAGACCGTGTTAGTTTCCGTCTCTAGGGCACGTACGAAAAGGAAACTGAGCTATCCTTTCGATCGCTCCCCTTTTGAATGTCAATGAAAGAAAACTTTGTAGAAAGAATGTAACCATGAAGTTCTGACTGATGAATCACAAAGTCAGAATAAAGTACCTGCTAAAAAATTGGCTGTTTGCTCTTCTCAATAGGCCTGAAATTAGCTCTCATGGAATACGATGCCTCTTGTCTTTGCAAAATCAGCGCGGAGGAGCTGTGCAATGTTCCTATGGCACTCCAAACCGATGCATAGCTAGGTATAATTTTTCTCTCCAAACCCCTGTAATAGACAATGCATCCTTCTTTCGCGATTTGCTATAGTTTTGTGGCTGCGAATGATGGGTCGTGGTCAGTTGAAGCTGGAAGTTTGTGCGCGTTCGCCAATCCGTCACCCATCACTGCTGAGAGGGTAACTACAACGAGCCGGTAGAGTCGGTTGCCTGCCGTGCCAAAAAAGCCCCCCTCCTACACTTGCCCCATATGCACCAACAACTAAGATTCTTCTAGCTCAACGATTCAGCATTGGCTGATTATGTAATCATTTAGTATTTATTTACTTACACTCCTTATCCCTGAGCCAGAGTAGGCGTGGCATTTGAACATGGCACGGAACTGGTTACTCATGGAATATTCCAGTCTGGGACAACTGTCATCCGTTTGTGTGGACAGAGACACGACAACAACTTCAATTGAATAGTCACGAGCATAGACATCGCCTTAGGTCCAATCGAAACATCACACCAGCTCCCCGATCTCAGGGATTTCAAGTATATTAGTTAATGACTTATTTTTCAATTTCACGCTCTGTCTTCCAGCTGATCTGGGTTCTACTGCTCGCTCACATCTCGTCTCTTACTCTTCAAAACTAGCCGCTCGCCTTGGTGTTGTCTCAGGACTCGGGTGTTGTCTCAGGAAAGCATATGGCAGAGGTTAGCTTATACCAGTACAGTATGACTACCGTGTACCAAAACGAGCTCCAATTTTGAAAATAGGGTCTACCCTAAAATATTGAGGCTCCACATCTTCGTATGACCTATGTGAAAGCTACAAGCATTTGAGGGGCTGATGCAGCTCAACTCTATTTCTTTCAGATAGCCCACTCCTACTATCCGAAATGGCCTCGACTAGCCCTCTGGATTATGGTAGAGATCGCCATTATTGCTTCTGATATGCAAGAAGTCATCGGAACGGCAATTTCTCTTTACTTGCTCTCTGATGGGAAGTAAGTTCAAAGAGCGAGTTCATTCTACGTGAAAGCTAGATAAGGGGGTCGTAAAAGGCGACCACCATGGTTGTAAAGGGTAAAAGAAAGACTGGAGTGGCCAAATCGATGATCAAGGCACATCCTGTCGTTGAGGGGAAAATTTGAGCAAATTGCGATCTCTCTTTTCCTCTCTGGTGCAACAGCCCTTCCCCATCCTAGCTACTCTCTACGCTCTCCAAGTACTTTCAAGACCCCATCATCTTTCCAAAAATTTCCTCCTAAGCCCTCCAATTTTTCACAAGAAATCTGCTGTCACGCGTGGTGGATCGGAGCGAAGCTAGTGCCAGTGAAACAGGATAAACCGCGAGAATTCAGTACCCGAGAAAATTCTCTCAGAGGCAATTATGACTCCCCCAGCAACCGGATACGACCCCCATCCCTAGGGATCCCCTACGTGCGAAGTGCGATGTGAACGCGATATTTCGGAAACTTGGCACTTTCTATGGTATATTTTCCATGTGCTTTCAGAATTCCTTTGTGGGCCGGAGTGCTAATAACGATTTGCGACACCTTCACCTTCCTGTTCTTGGAAAGGTGAGTTTTTACCGGCACTATTTATTTTTTTATTGCCTTACTTCTCGTAATTCTTATGAGAGCTTGGATTTTGGCTAGAGACAGCGCTGTTTTGCTTAAAGGATAAAGGATAAAGTCTTCGCCGTTAATCAATCCCTTTGTGGGATGCGGCACGCATTCTACTTCCATTCAGAATTGACTGTTTTGCTTAGAGGGGGCATTCTGCACTTTGTTAATTCCTTTTGTTATTTCATGTTAATTAGTAGGTCTGTTCTCGGTTGGACCTGTGAAACTCTGTGACTGCGAAATTGTTCGAGTGGGCCACTTTGGCCACAGGAATTTACAAGCGATCACAAGGTGGCTTTTACAAGCTCAGCTCAATGCCGTTCGATGCCCCCACCAACCCGAACTGCGCCCTAGAGACTTGTCCCGAGGGCAGTTTCGCCACTGACACGAATAAAACATCAGTACGGCGCAGAAATGCTCCACTGGGGCCTGCGCTGGGCGTTCTGTGATCGTTAGTGTCGGCATCTGTAGCCTGAATATTAAACGTTTCCGCGCCAAGGATTACGTTGTGTGGTTCGCTAGGACGAACTATTCTGAAGAGAGAATCCTAGCCAAACCTACCAGCGGTATGGTATTTCAATAAAAATTTCTGAAACTCGAAAAATAGGGTAGAAGAAGGAGATCAATGCAGTTTTCAGTTATGTCATGAAAGTAATCAATACTGGTTAATTTCTTTCAGATATGGTGTCAGAAAATTCGAAGCTTTCTTTGCCTTTCTCATTGCTTGTATGGCAGCATCATTTGGGTTTGAGTTGTCGGTCAGCATCTTTTCTCGTCTTACTGCAGTCCACGATGACTTTTGAGGCGGTCGCGGTCACTACTGAGTCCCCTCACCTGGCGCGGATCTCGATCAAGTGCAGCAAAAAGAGACAAGCATTAACCTCTAAGGTAATGATCTCGGACGCCTCTTCATTATTATACAGTTTTGCTCGCTGGAGATGTTTGAAAGTGCCAGGGAGCTGGGTTTGGCACGGCGTCAGCGCGCCTTTCACTATCTATTGTCTCTTTCCCGTCTTCAACAATTGGACGAGAGCGGGCTGGCGCAGCGCCAAAACTGGTACTCCCTGACGCGCCCTAACATCTGCAGGGAACAAGACTATACAGCACTCTGAGCCAACGTCTGACCAGCCTCTTAACCTTTTCCAATGCATTCATCAGCGCCATTGCTGGTCTGACTCCGCCCACACGATCAGCGTGGGCTTTCCTTTGGGCAATATTCGATTAGTCTGGCTACTAGCGCTGAGAATTTACAATTTTAGGGTCTACTATTTACGGGCATGGTAGTGCCATGGTGCCGCCATTGCGATACAACTCAATTCTTACAAGGTGTCTCCATTGTCGGTGCTGTTATAATGCCACACAACCTCTACCTGCATTCAGCCCTTGTGAAGGTATGTCCCCGAATGAAGCCATTTGAGCCTTTTTCAGTTCGAATGTTCAGAGCCGACTGGTTGATCGAACTCGGGAGGCAAAAGTGAAGGAGGCAAACAAATATTATTTTATCGAGTCATTTTTCGCATTGTTCTGTTCGTTTTGGATCAATGTACTTGTGGTAGCTGTATTCGCTCAAGGAATGTATGGCAAGACGAATGCCGATGTGGTGCGAATTTTTTTCACTTTAGTTTTTATTTTTCTTTAATTTCGACTCCTTTTTCCTGTAATCATCTATCGAGTTTGATTGTTGACCTCGAGTCTCTATGACCGCTTCTAGAGTTTTGTCAAAGGGCTCAATAAGTGTTACCTTAACCTCTGCCTTTGGTATGATTTTTTTAGATTTCAATGAGATTTTGAATTTGGAAAGCACGGTATACAGTTTCTATGAAAATTGCGCGCGATATTAATTGTTCTGGCCCGTGATGTAAACGCACAATTTTGGGGATACCCATGAGCTGGTTAAGTTACATAAGTCTGAAGTACTTTTATTGGTTTGCCTAGGCGAAACGGAGAGGTTCTGTGTGCTCGCCTAACATCACTCTACGCACTCAATTCTACGCGCAGTTTAGGATACTGTATCCTGCCTATTTTTCTAGACTTGTAATTAAAGGGTAATACATGCTTAGTGGGCCAGTCTTCTTCAACAACATTTACTGAAACTTTGGCAAAGCGCTCTCGTAGAGTCATCATCAAAGCGGAACACGTGCTGTATTTCCCTCCCCGCTCCGCTCCGACAGCCGCACCCACCGTTTTGTAAAGGCTCGAGCGTTATTCGCGAATAATCCACAATGCTTTCGCTACCTTTTTTCGTGCGTCTCCTTTGCACGTAAGTGTTTATGACTCCGGGGAACTACTGGACTGCTTGTTCGGAAGGAGGCCCGTCCTCTAATCTCGCATGAACTTTGCCCTCCTCTAAAATCCCTCCGATGCTAGCTGAGTGGTCTCGTCGCCGTGACGCTGTCCCCTACCTGCTAAGGAGTTAACGTTAAGCTTGTCGTGGGGTCTAGATGGGCGCAACACGCACGTCTTATCAAAATTTTGATTCTCTATGGCTGAGTCGGCTGATTTGAATGCACTGACATTTCCGCAAGGCTAAGTTCACCGATGAAATCCGGAACACGGATGAAATCCAGTCATCAATCGATATATTGATTAGGCAGAATATATTATAACCTTGGTGTGGGGAGAAAGGGGGGGGGGTAGTGGGCACATTTGTAAACTCTTCGGCGAGTCGTTCCAACTGTGTACATGTGGATACCGGACAGTCATGTCCCACCCTGCAAGTCCTGTAAATCCCCGACGAGCACTCTGTAAACTTCTATACTAAGTAATGCTACATACACGATATATTGAAGGTAGTTTTCAAGTTTGACCATTTTGACAAATTTGACAGGAGTTTGCAGATTGCTTGACAGGTGACTGACAGGTGATAACAAGGCTTACAAGGTGCTGACAAGGTTATCCGGTACTCACATGTATATGAACAGTTTGCAGGATTTGGCATGGTGGCATACGCTTACAGGTTTGATGCCCCCCCCCACCATACAATTGGGTCCGAATTTCCCATGGGTTTGTCATATACTGTGCGGTGAAATCTTTTTGTAAGTTCAGATCATTTTAGAAACATAACTGCGACACACTGGACAATCATATGCCGGGGTTCTACAAGGACGTATTCGAGAACAACACCGACATTGCCGATGTCGACATTTTTCATGCAGGAGTGTTCCTCGGTAAGTGGTGAATACTTGTTAGCGAAGTTTCCCAGTATTACTTAGGGAATGCCCGCGATCATTCGTCATCACAGATAGTGGATCAGGGGTTCGCATATAGACGACAAGGTTCTGAGTAACTCGATAGTGAAGAAAAAAAGCAGAAAAAACATGCCAACTGCCCTAGATA